CATACACACACACACACACTAAAAATAAAAGTAAAAATATCTTGGGAATATCCATACTACTAAAACAATGATCACCAAGAGAATGCTTTAAGAGAATAAAATTACATACACACACAGGTAAAAAAAGGATATATGCAGTGTTATCTTCATTTTAGATGTCAAAAGGGTCTCTCTCTGTCTCTCTCTCTCCCTTCCTCTCTATCTGCCCTTGGTCTGCCACTCCTCTTCCCCCACTCTCTTTCTTTCTCTCTCTCTCTCTCCCTCCCTCTCTCTCTCTCTCTCCCCCCCCCCCGCTATCTGCTGCTCACCTGGCAAGCTTCAACCTGTTGTCCAACAAGCTCAGGGGTAAGCAACCTCGTCTCTTTTATGACTCATGGACTTCAACTCCCAGAATTCCTGAGTCAGCCTAGCTAGCTCTCTCCTGCCCTTCCTGCTTCCTGCAGAGACGCAGCAAAGGGAGGAGCTCCACCCAGTAAGCTTTTCAGCTCCTCGGAGAACACTGTGAGTGCACTCTCTTTTACACATACACACACAAAAAACACAAACACACACACACAGAGAGAGAAAGAGAGAGAGAGAGACAGAGAGAGAGAGAGAGAGAGAGAGAGAGAGAGAAGCAGGGAAGCGCACTTGCCTCTCTCTGTCTCTGTCTCTCTGCAAAGGCAGAGGAGGCTGGGAGCCACAGGGGAAGGCCCGGAGCCGCAGGTTGCCGACCTGTGGCCTAGAGAGAGCTGTAAAGCACTGGGAAGCTGTATATAAGTCTAAGTGCTATTGTTATTGCTATTTCTCTAGGAAAGTTTTATTGTGGGGACAATTTCAATGGCAAATTTACAGACGAGAGCAGTAAGCAAATATGTAAAATATAGCATACCTCCTGGAATAGGCCATAATGGATTATTATTACAAAAATCTATATACTACTAAAAGTCTTGTTCCTGTAATCTTTAACTGAACAAAATAGTGCATCACAGGGCAACTAAAGTACCTCAAATAGGTAACTTACAGAATAGATCTAAAATCTACTGTGTTTCCCCGAAAATAAGACCCAGACTTATTTTTATTTATTTTTTGTCTCCAAAAACGGCACCAGGTCTTATTTTCGGGGGTGGGTGTCTTTTCCACTCATCTCGCAGCAGTGGCATCGACAGCCCCAGCCAGCCAGCCCACTTCTTCTGTAGTTGAAGAAGCAGCTTCATTCTGCAACTGAGTATGGAGCTCTGGCCTGCATTTTGCAGTCAAAAGCCTTTCTGAAAGGCCTTTGCAGCCAAGAACTGAGCTACAGATTGAATCCATAGCTTGGTTCTCGGCTTCAGAGGCCTTCCAAAAAGTCCTCTGACTGCAAAATGAAGGCTGGGGGACACCACAGAAAAAGTGGGCCAGCGAGGAGAAGCAGGTGTCAATTCATAAGAGGCCTGGTAAGTGGGTATGGGGGGCAGGGACAGGTCCACCCCCCCACCCCAGCTTGATTTTTAGGCATGCACCTCGCCCCAAAACTAGGGCTTATTTTTGGGATAGGTCTTATATTAGGCCCACCCTCCAAAAATCTAGCTAAGGTTTTATTTTCAGGGTAGGTCTTACTTTTGGGGAAACATGGTAGGATCCATGACTCCTGTAGAATTGAAATGTGTCAAATGTTATAAAACATTTTATGACATCAATATTATCATGAAACAGTCTATGATATAATAGAAATATAAAACATTTCCTGTGCTAATGTTTGCCTGTGCTATAGTTCAGTATGGGCTATTTTCAAGGCAAATAGAACTCTGAATGGATCCCAACTTTCCCAGTGAAGGCAATGCATTAGAAGCCCTGTCGCTATGGAAGGCATTGAGGAATCTAGTAAGAAATATCTCTGAAACAACGGCCCAAAAGAACACAAGTTATCTAGCTGGTTATATAACCAAGTCTTTGGGAAAGGATTACAAAAGAAATCCAAGATAATCTGAAACTGCTATGGAGGGTCAGTATGGTCCAATGGTGGGATTCAGCTGGTTTGCACCACTTAGGCAGAACCGGTAGCTAATTTTTTGTTGCCCAGGCCCAGAACAGACTTCCGGTAGCAGTATCCACACAGAGAACCGGTTGTTCACATATTTGAATCCCACCACTGGTATGGTCCCAACGGAATGATTATTTCAAGACCAATCAAATTACACAATTATTCTGAGAAAAGAGAAATAAGCAAATGTAAGACACAAGATATGGAGAAATGAGAAGTCAGCCTAGCTCAAGAATAACAGCCAATGTGGAAACGTGCATCAATAATGTAATCACACAACTGCTAAACTACTGAATGTCATTAAGGCAGGAGTATCAAACTTGCAACGTCATGTGACATGTCGCGACATATGGCGACATATGGCCATTGCCAATGGGGTGGGTGTGGTTTTTCTATGATGCATCCAGTCCGTGGGCCGGCAGTTTGACACCCCTGCCTTAAAGATAAATATTTCTCACCTTCATCACTTTTATCTAAATTTAATACATTTATTTAACTTTATCCTTCCAAAAGTGGTATGATGACCTACAGTTGAAGACCCTCTCCTCCCACTCCAAAGATTCAGAGTTCAATCCTAGGTAGCAGCAATGTTTCTGTCCTCGGATGCAAAGAAAAAAATATCTGCTGTGAACTCCTTGGGGCGTCAAGAAGGGCATCCGGACAGTAAATGCTCAGCTCCATCCAGCCACCCTGACTCTACCCGGAATTTAAGAGATTACAGGATTGTTTTATTTAACTTTATCCTTCCAAACCCTGTTCTCATTTGAAAATAGAAAAGGGAGAAAATGAGATACAGGACTGGACATCTTAGGTGTAGTGATGATACCCAAATTCAAAACTGCAGAAGAACATATAGAATAAAGTATACAGTGAGAGCCCTATTGAACATTTTCGGTCCCATGAAGCTAAATTTATACTTTGACAGACAAAAATGAAGGAACCAAAGAGCAAGCCTAAACAATCTAAAGGCACCAGAGAATAATCATCCAGGTGTAAGACAGACTCCTCAAAATAATCAGGTGCTGTGCTTCCTAAATTTATTTCCAGCTGCCAGTCTTTAGAGCTTCCAAACATGCATACAAACATTTAACAAAAGGATCCATTATCCAAGAACACATGGAGGTTTTTCACTGAGAAAACCTAAAACTGGCTAAATCTTTATTTGGACAGACTGTATAAAACACATAGAAACTATTATTCTTTTTTTTTTTTTTTGCATTTTCTTATAGGGTAGTAGTTTACAGCTGTCAATATGGGCTTCTAGGCCATACATGGAAAAATAAAAAAAATCATTATTTTAGTAAGACTTAAATGTAGTAAGTCCATGAGTATGCTATCTATATTATTCTATGATCTCAGTAAATAATAAAAATGACATGTATGCAACTTTATAGCACTGAAATAATCTAGAAACAAATTTATGCTAGTCTTATTTAAAATGATAGAATGCACAGAAATATCTGTTGTATAACATACTAAAATTGAGAAGTGTTTTTTTTTCTTTATTCATATCTACTTCAATGGCCAAAAAACATATGTGCAGTAAAGGCATCATCCAACAACAAACATTTTTATTTTTCTTTGTATCCCATCTTTTTTTTTTTTTTTACAAATAACTCAAAGTGGCAAAAATATCCAATACACTTTCCTATTTCCCCACAACAATCCTGTGAGGCAAGCTGGGCTGAGAACAAGTGACTAGCCCAAGATCACCCAGCTGGCTTCCATGGCTAAGGTGGGAATAGAACTCAGAGTCTTCCACTTTCTAGTCTGGTGCTTTAACCACTTGAATTATCACTTTACTTGCTAGACAAATAATTTGATTTACAATTAGTTGGCATTGCAGGTTTAGAAGAACAGACTTGCAGAGGACTGATAACCAAGCTATCATAATTTGGAAATTAATTATAAAGCACCTTAGAGATAGAACTTCCTGAAATATTTTATGGGTGTTACTGATTAACTTTACACCATAGGTAAATTCTTGTACCATTTAACAATGTAAAGCATAACTGCACAGTGAATTTATAGGACAGCTTTCAATTATTGCAACTACAATTCAGGCTGAGAGATAAGTGAATTAACATACATATATCTAGGGCAGCACTTGCATCTTTAAATGAACAAGAGCTCCTCACTTCAGTTCCCTAATAGCCTGTTCCTCTCTGCCATGCAGTCTTCTCATTTGCTCAGCCAACCATTGTCTCACCCATCAGCCATGAAACGTCACTGCCCTTCTACACATTTCCCACTATATCTCCTCTGAGTACAGCACTAGAGCAATCCCTCCTCTGTAGAACCCTTTAATTTTGCTTCCTTTATTATCTCCTGTGTGCACACACACGTCATTTTATTTGTATTACCTACACCCAGCCTTAAAACTGCCTGCGCTCCTGCAATGTTACTCTATTTCAGAAGGTGTGTATGGAGCACGGAAAGGCTGATGAGATGGTAAGGAATCCATGTTTCATTTTATCCCATAGTCTGTTCACTTACTTTTTAAGATACAAGTGTATTGCTCAAAATAACCAATCATGAACACCAGACAAAACCCAGACTGATATTACTGTAAAGACTTACATTAAATAAAGAACGATTGGGGGATTTTCACACACACACACACATGTCCAGTACACACAGTTGTTGAATAAGCGTAAGATAACTAATACTACCAATGCTAGGACTGAAGGATGTGGGGGAAAAAAAACCTTATAGAAGAACATATGTTTCTCTTCCTCCTGTCACTACTGCCACTTCTTGACCAGGAAACCTTCCTTCAAAGAGTAGCACAGCATCCCACTCGCACACTGGACTCTTTTCCAGATCTTGTAAAGCTGGGTTTTGATTATTCATAGTTTCCTGTTGGGTTAGCGGCTCCTCCATTCAGCTTTCCCAAATGGTGTTAATCTACCTGCACCACCACCCCCAACACACACACACGCACACTCTTTCTCTCTCTCTCTTCCCATCCTCAATATGATTTCCTCATCCTCCTCACCGGAGATACTGAGCGCAAAGCAAGCTCATCCTCCGCTGCCGCCACCGCCGCCTCTCGCTGCCCGCCCGTCCACGCCGGCCCCGCGTCGGGGTCTACAGCTCGGGCCCTTCCGCAGCCTGGGAGCCGCAGCCGCCGCTGCTGCCGCCTCCGGCCGCCGCCATCGTCCCGTGTCGGGCCCAGGCTCTTCCTGGAGAAGGAGGAGGCGGGAGGCGGGAGGAGGGAAAGAGGTAGCAGCGAGGGGAGGAGGAACAGTTCCGCTCTCCGCCTCCTGACTGGGGAAAGTAATTCTCGCGAGACCCGCTCGAAGTGCCGCCCTCCGCGTTCAAGGCTGCCGTCGCCTCCCAGACTCGTGCGGATCCAGCGGCAGGTGCTTGACTACAAGTAGGCGAGCCTCCCAGTCAATGCCTCCTTTTCCACCTTCCCACCCTCACTTCCGGGCGCGGCCCAAGCTCAACGAGACCCACTTCCGTCTTAGTGCGCAGCGAAACCCTTCCCTTGTCAGCTCGGGGCCCGCGAGGCGGCCTTCTAATGCGACTTTCCATTGGTTATGCTGCTGTCATAGCAACGGGGAATGCGTGCGAGCGGAGGAGGGGGATGAATAGTCGTGTGCTGTATCTTATCGCCATGGTAACCGTCGCAACTACTCTAGCGCGCGCTCCTTCCCCAACTCCCATCTGGAAAGTCACCAGCTGCCTCTCTGTCTCTCTCCTAACGCCCGCCTGGCAGTTTATCTCTTAACCTGTGCGAAAGTATCTTTCACCACCCCCCGCCCAGAATAAGTGGAATTCATTTCATAGGATTGCTCCAAGTCTGCCGTGAGGCTCGCACCCGTCCGAAGGTTCAAGGTGCCGATCTGGAAGAGCCGATTTAGTTACGTTTGACGAGATGCTGGCCTTTGAGCTACGGGATTACTGGCGGCTTTTCTGACTGTTTCTGAAGTCGCTTTCCATCGTGGCCCCCAGAGTTTTTTTTTTCCTTCTGCATGTGGCAGCTGCCGCTTGGGAGTGCCAGGAAGAACCGATGAAATAAAAGTAGAATGCTGCATTGTCTAAACTTGGGGTACTTGGATCCTGCCAAAATCTCTGCCTATTTGGAAAGAGATTCTTTAAATAAAGGAAGTGGAAGGAGGCATGCTGCGGAAGAAATTGCCAGCTTTTAGCATCAATGTCAAGAATGCTTCTAGATCTTAAGCAGTGCCAGGAGTCTTTCCTGGAAAGTACAGTAGAAGATGACTTTGGCCCAGTCCTTTTGTGCATCCTTTATCTCCCTCCCACACACACACACACACCAAAAAAGGAGAGAAATGTATTCTGGGAGTAGTAGAAGATATATTGGGGAGAATTATGAAGGTGGTGGGCATTTCCTTCCTCCCTCCCTCCCTCCTTCCCTCCCTCCTTGCTGCCCAATTTGCAAGAACAACTCTGAAGGAAAATTGGATTGATTAAAATGTAAAAATATCTTTATATAACTTTTTTTACATAAAACAAGAAAGCCAAAAACAAGACTGACAACAGCAAAGAAAAGCAAGATTTTTAACCACAAAGAAATGTAATGTTTTTGTCAATCATTGGTCTGTGGCAGCTGGTATTGATACTTATAAACAATGATCCTTCAGATGGAAATATTTATTTTAGAATATTTCTAATCTTTCCTCTGTAGATGTCTCCTCCATTAATATAATATAATATAATATTATAATATAATATAATATAATTAATATAATAATATAATATAATATAATATAATATAATATAATATAATATAATATAATAATAAAGTTGGAAGGGGACCTTGGAGGTCATCTAGTCCAACCCCCTGTTCAGGCAGGAAACCCTATACCATTTCAGACAAATGGCTGTCTAGTCTCTTCTTTAAAACTTCCAGTGTTGGAGCATTCACCGCTTCTGAGGCAGGTTGTTCCACTGGTTAATTGTTCTAACTGTCAGGAAGTTTCTCCTTAGTTCTAGGTTGCTTCTCTCCTTGATTAGTTTCCATCCATTGCTTCTTGTCGTGCCTTCAGGAGCTTTGGAGAATAGCTTGACTCCCTCTTCTTTGTGGCAGCCCCTGAGATACTGGAACACAGCTATCATGTCCTCCCTCATCCTTCTCTTTGTTAAACTAGACATACCCAATTCCAGCAACCGTTCCTTATATGTTTTAGCCTCCAGTCCCCTAATCATCTTTGTTGCTCTTCTCTGTACTCTTTCTAGAGTCTCAACATCTTTTTTACATCGTGGTGACCCAAACTGGATGCAGTATTCCAAGTGTGGCCTTACCAAGGCATTGAAGAGTGGTATTAATACTTCATGTGATCTTGATTCTATCCCTCTGTTAATGCAGCCTAGCACTGTGTTGGCCTTTTTGGCAGCTGCAGCACACTGCTGGCTCATATTTAAATGATTGTCCACTAGGACTCCAAGGTCCCTCTCACAGTTACTACTATTGAGCAAGGTACCTCCTATACTATACCTGTACATTTGGTTTTTCTTGCCTAAATGTAGAACCTTACTTTTTTCACCATTGAATTTCATTTTGTTAGATAGCACCCAGTGTTCAAATCTGTCCAGATCCTCCTGTATCCTAAGCCTGTCTTCTGGAGTATTGGCTATTCCTGCCAGCTTGGTGTCGTCTGCAAATTTGATGATTTCTCCATCTATCCCCTCGTCCAAATGATGAAGATGTTGAAGAGCACTGGGCCCAGAACAGAGCCCTGGGGCACCCTACTACACACTTCCCTCCATGTGGATGTGATTCCATTGAGGACCACATGCTGAGTACAGTCGGTCAGCCAGCTATGGATCCATCTGGTGGTGATGCTGTCTAACTCACATTTTTCTATCTTATCAAGTAGTAGGTTGTGATCTACTTTATCAAATGCCTTACTGAAGTCCTTTTTTGAAGATGGGAACTACATCAGCTCTTTTCCAGTCCTCCGGTAATTCCCCAGTGCTCCAGGATCTTTGAAAAATACAGTTCAATGGTTCTGAGATCACATCTGCCAGTTCCTTGAGGACCCTGGGGTGTAATCCATCTGGTCATGGTGATTTGAACTCGTCTAGGCTGGACAGGTGCTCACTTACCGTTTTCTTGCCTATCTTAACTTGCGTTTCTATTCTGTTTTTATGGCACTATTTTTGGTAGGTTGGTCTGTTTTTTCTCTTTGTGTAAAGACAGATGCAAAAAACTAGTTAAATAGTTCTGACAGAATGATCTCAATTCGAATCCAAGGCAAACCATTCAATATCACAATAATCCAAATCTATGCCCCAACCACTGGTGCTGAAGAGGATGAAATTGACCGGTTCTATGAAGCCCTACAGCAACTTATAGAATTAACACCAAAAAATGATGTCCTTATCATCATGGGGGATTGGAATGCTAAGGTAGGAAGCCAAAAGATAACCGGAATAACAGGCAAGTTTGGCCTTGGAGTACAAAATGAAGCAGGGCACAGGCTGATAGAAGTTTGTCAAGAGAATACAATGTTCATAACAAACACTCTTTTCCAACAACCCAAGAGACAGCTCTACACATGGACATCACCAGATGGTCAACATAGAAATCAGATTGACTATGTGCTCTGCAGCCAAAGATGGAGAAGCTCTATACAGTCAGTAAAAACAAGACCAGGAGCTGACTGTGGCTCAGGTCATGAGCTTCTCGTTGCAAAATTTAGGCTTAAATTGAAAAAAGTAGGGAAAAGCACTAGGCCACTCAGGTATGAACTAAATCATATTCCTGATGAATATACAGTAGAGGTGACAAATAGATTTAAGGAATTAGATCTGATAGACAGAGTGCCTGAAGAACTATGGATGGAAGTTTGCAACATTGTACAAGAGGTAGCAACTAAAACCATCCCAAAGAAAAAGAAATGCAAGAAAGCAAAATGGCTGTCTGAGGAAGCTTTGCAAATAGCTGAGGAAAGAAGGGAAGCGAAAGGCAAAGGAGAAAGAGAAAGATACACCCAATTGAATGCAGAATTCCAGAGAATAGCTAGAAGAGATAAGAATGCCTTCTTAAATGAACAGTGCAAAGAAATAGAAGAAAACAACAGAATAGGAAGGACCAGAGATCTCTTCAAGAAAATTGGAGATATGAAGGGAACGTTTCTTGCAAAGATAGGCATGATAAAGGACCAAAATGGCAGGGACTTAACAGAGGCAGAAGAGATTAAGAAGAGATGGCAAAACTACATAGAAGAACTATACATGAATGAGCTTAACATCCCAGATAACCACAATGAGATGGTCACTGATCTCGAACCAGACATCCTAGAATGTGAAGTGAAATGGGCCTTAGAAAATCTGAGCAACAACAAAGCTAGTGGAGGTGATAGTATTCCAGCTGAGCTATTCAAAATCTTAAAAGACAATGCAGTAAAAGTGCTACACTCAATTTGCCAGCAAATTTGGAAAACTCAACAGTGGCCACAGGATTGGAAAAAGGTCAGTTTACATTCCAATTCCAAAGAAAGGAATGCCAAAGAATGTTCAAACTATCGCACCATTGCACTCATTTCACATGCTAGTAAAGGTATGCTTAAAATCCTACAAGCTAGACTCCAGCAGTATGTAAATCGAGAACTACCAGAAGTACAGGCAGGATTTCGAAGAGGCAGAGGAACTAGAGATCAAATTGCCAACATACGCTGGATCATGGAGAAAGCTAGGGAGTTCCAGAAGAACATCTACTTCTGCTTCATTGACTATGCTAAAGCCTTTGATTGTGTGGATCACAACAAATTGTGGCAAGTTCTTAAAGAGATGGGAATACCAGACCATCTTATTTGTCTCTTGAGAAACCTATATGCGGGTCAAGAAGCAACAGTGAGAACTGGACACGGAACCACTGATTGGTTCAAAATTGGAAAAGGAGTCCGGCAAGGCTGTATACTGTCGCCCTGCCTATTTAACTTATATGCAGAGCACATCATGAGAAAGGCAGGGCTAGATGAATCAAAAGTTGGAATTAAGATTGCCGGGAGAAATATCAACAACCTAAGATATGCAGATGATACCACTCTAATGGCAGAAAGTGAAGAGGAACTAAAGAGCCTCTTGATGCAGGTGAAGAAGGAGAGTGCAAAAGTTGGCTTGAAACTCAACATTAAAAAAACCAAAATCATGGCATCCGGCCCTCTCAATTCCTGGCAAATAGATGGGGAAAAAATGGAGGTAGTGACAGATTTTATTTTTCTGGGCTCCAAGATCACCTCAGATGGGGACTGCAGCCAAGAAATTAAAAGACGCTTGCTCCTGGGAAGAAAAGCTATGGCAAATCTAGACAGCTTACTGAAAAGCAGAGACATCATCCTGCCAACAAAAGTGCGTATAGTCCAGGCCATGGTTTTCCCAGTTGCAATGTATGGCTGTGAAAGTTGGACCATAAGAAAGGCTGAGCGCCAAAGAATTGAGGCCTTTGAACTATGGTGCTGGAGAAGACTCCTGCGAGTCCCTTGGACTGCAAGGCGTTCAAACCGGTCAGTCCTAGAAGAGATCAACCCCGACTGCTCTTTAGAAGGCCAGATCCTGAAGTTGAAACTCAAATACTTTGGCCACCTAATGAGAAGGAAGGACTCACTGGAAAAGGGCCTAATGCTGGGAAAGATTGAGGGCAATAGAAGAAGGGGACGACAGAGAATGAGATGGCTGGATGGAGTCACTGAAGCAGTAGGTGTGAACTTAAATGGACTCCAGAAGATGGTAGAGGACAGGAAGACTTGGAGGAACGTTATCCATGGGGTCGCGATGGGTCGGACACGACTTCGCAATTAACAACAACAACAACAACAAGTTCTGCTTTCTCCCTGTTGCTTGTCACCTTCTTGCCACTTTCCCCCACTAATGGACCAATCATTTCCTTCACTTTTTCTTGTTTTTTATATTTTGAAAGAAGCTTTTTTTGTTATTTTTGACTTTGGTCACAAACCTTAGTTCATTTTGAGCCTTAGCTTTCCTCATTTCATCTTTGTAGGCTCAGGCTATTTGCTGATATTCTGACTTAGTTATGTGCCCCTCTTTCCACTTTCTATACTTGTCCTTTTTATCTTTCAATTTATCAGAGAGTTCTTTATGCAGCCATGCTGGTTTCTTTTGAGAGCTGTTATTTTTCCTCTTTGTTGATATTGTGCTGGACTGGGCTTTTATTATCTCGCTTTTCAAAATTTCCCAAGCTTCTTGAGTTGTTTTCCCCTTGAGGATTCTCATCCATGGAATCCTTCCCAAGCCCTCTCTAAGTTTATTGAAATTAGCTCTCTTAAAGTCCAAGACTCTAGTTTGACTGTGTTTATTGCTTGTGCTTCCATAATGTTGAATTCCAATATTGCATGATCACTTCCTCTCAAGGTGCCTGTGGTTTCAACACCTTCTATCATTTCATCTCTGTTAGTGAGAATTAGATCCAAAATGGCTCAGTGGTTTCTATTTTAAAAAAAAACATTTCAGAGGGGTTTTTTTTTTTAAATTGATTGTTCTATGATTTTATAAAATGCAAATAATATATTATAGAATATAAATGATGGCTGAATATAATGGTATTTATACAGAGGAAACTGGAAATTGGTAACACTGATGATTTAAATAAACCTTGAAAGATTTCATTTTAGCAGTAAATAGTTACTATGCATAGT